AGTTAAATATGCTTGAGAAACTGTTTTCAATATTTTACTTCAAATTATAAAGAAGGTAAATGAAGTTAAAAAGTTTTAACGTTGTGAAATTAACACAAGTTTTACAACACATTTTCAGCCATTATATATATATATATATATATATATATATATATATATATATATATATATATATATATATATATATATATATATATATATATATATATATATATATATATATATATATATATATATATATATATATATATATATATATATATATATATATATACTTATATATATTCGTAAACATCTGTTATCATAATGAATATTATTTAAAAAATAAATTACTTGTTTAATTTATCATACTTTTCTGCAGTTTATCATATCTTCGCCTATCTTACTTTTTTGTCAATGTCTTTATTGAAATATTTAGGAAGGCGGTTTTAATTTAGCATTATGCATCAAAAATGGTATTTTATTCGTTGAACCATGAAATTAAATTATTATTTTTAATTCACATGAACAAAGCACGGATTAAACATTATGATTGTGTATTAAATATGAACAGTTTTGTAAAGTACGACCAAAAACAAACTCCAAAGGATAGTATTTCAAAGTAGATGTTCTTTTGTCATCAAAGTTGTTGTTTTCTCATCATCAATATAGATGTTCTTTAAAACTTTAATTCATAATTTTAGAAGCAAAAGTTATCAAAATTCTTATGCAAACACAAGTGCTAATTTATTTTATATTTTCAGCCATAATGAACAAAAAAAGTTATACTGTTTTTGTTTTAATTTAAATTTGTACTATATATAAAAAAAAAAAAAATCAATTTTGAAATGGTTAATTAAAAAAAATTCCATTTCGTAGCGTGTAGCTTAATGTAAAAAAATTTACAAGTGTAAAAATTTAAATTTTTTTTATAATTTTGTTATGTTTTTATAATTTTATCTAAACTGATATTGAAATGATTCACCTGGTGATGACCTCTAAATTAATTTATTAACTACATAAAGCACGTAAAAATAATTTATTTTCAATATAAGTAACTGCTAATGTGTAATAAATTAGAGCGTTATGAAATCAGAGAATTGACCTTGTCAATTATCGATCAGATTGTCTAAAAACTTTTTTAGATTTTTTAGGTTTTGCGAAAATATTTTCAACATTTTCAGATTATTCCTCACCAATCAGACCGTACCGTACCAGTAAGTTTTGTCGGGGCCTTTTTAAAAAAGGAGGTAGCTTAGAGTACCAAATAAATATTGATCTTGATTTTTATAACAAAGTTCTCGTGTAACTTTGCAACTAGATCGAAAAGTCCAGTTACTTTATGAAACACATACAGCCATACATACAAGGAAACAAAAGACAAAATAACAAAACAAAGTTATATTAGAGTAAGTGTTACCGGCTTTTGCATTTAATCTGGTGAATTTTCGCACAAATCTGGCGGGTTTTTCATTTAATCTGGCGGTTTTTTTCATTTAATCTGGTGGTTTTTTGCATTCAATCTGGTGGTCTTTCTTTATTATAATAAACAGTTTTGTTTTTATTGCTTTATTTAATTTAACTTCCTTATTTACAATTTAAGCCCGTTTTCTCTTAATTTTTTTAAAAATTTAAAATTTAATAACACACGAAGACAATGCTCAGAGATTAATGCTGAAGTAAGAAATTTGATCGTTAATCTTGTAATTAACGAAGGAAAAAGTGTGAAAGAAGTATCGAAACTCGTGCATAGAAGCGAGACTTCAATACGACACCTGGTCCATCGATATTTATCAACAGGTAATATCAATCCTGGTATTATAGGCGACTTTCGACAGTCAGGTTGTTCTGAGGAAATAATAATAAGCTACATGAATTGATTGGAGATAACAAAAACTATGATCTACAAGAGTTAAAGGTAAAACTGGGACTTGATGTCAGAACTATAATCTACAGGAGTTAAAGGTAAAACTGTGACTTGATGTCTCTACATTATGACAATGGTTAAAAAAATTGAATTATACATACAAAATATTAAGACCCATGAGTGAAAGACATAATACTACAGAGGTAAAAGAAGAAAGAAAAACATTTGTTTCATGGTATTTACACTTGACATTGCAACAACGCCGCTACAGAAACATCATTTACATCGATGAAAGTCCGTTCAATCTTCATATGATAAGAAACCATGGATACAGTCTCCGAGAAACGAACCCAAATCAACGTGTGTTATCATCAAGAGGCCGTAACATAACTATGATATTAGCATTAAATTGTTTAAACATAGTCCACTAAAAAGCAATAATTGGCGTGGGGGTGACAGCAGAAATCTTAAAGGATTCTTAAATACGCTTAAAAGTATTTTGGGAGAAGAATAAGAGTTTACCTTGGTGATGGACAACGTTAAGTTTTATCATTCATTATCAGATTTTTATGATAGTTATCCCTATGAAGTTCGTTTTTTACCCCAATACTCACCTTTTCCATTCTCGAAAATTAAGAATACTACAAGAGGACAAATAGCTCCGATCTGAAATAACGATTTGTTAGAAGAAATGAGGAACGGTTGTGAGGACGTTACTGAACTTTCAAACTTTGTGACACAGTGCGAATCTTTTCTCACACAATGTGTCAATATATATAATGTATATAAATAAATCATTTCTGAAAATGTCTTTCTAATAAGCCTCCATTTATTAAACTCAGTGTAAAATAAAATTTGGTTTGATAAGTGACTATTTAGACGTGGAGTCTTCATATGTATATATATATATATATATATATATATATATATATATATATATATATATATATATATATATATATATATATATATATATATATATATATATATATATATATATATTGTATTTTTAATTTAAATATAATAATTTATGTTATAGGCTTTCTTTTTTTAGTGAGGTTTCTTATGGACTCAACCGTTTTTTTCCCCGGTAAAATGTCTTTTTTTATTTCATTAGTTTTTCAATCAATTAAAACATAAAATGTTAACTATTTTTTTATTAGCTTATAAATAAAATTAGACATAAGCTAATTTTACCAAACAACCTCACCACCAAGACCTAATATTGACCCTTAAAAAGTCTAGGGGATCGAACTAAAATTAAAAATACTGTGTAGTGTTGATATTTTCGTTAAGAAAATAATTATAGTTCTCGTTAACAAAAGGCTTCAATTTTTGTTCTTTTTTCGTGCACGAAAATATCACATACAGTCAACTCTTGATATCTTGAATAGTTGATATCTCGAACTTTTTTGAATCCAGTCGAACCCTTATTTATGGATTATACTCTCGATAACTCGAACATTCTCTCGAACTAATTAATCGGTCCTTTGGAGGTTTGAGATATCGAGAGTTGTCTAATTAATTATAGTAATAGTTCTAGTTCTCGTTAACGAAAAGCTTTAATTTTTATTATAAATCTTTCATTCAAAAATATCACTGTTGATGACAAAGTTTAATTTGTTTTTAATTTAAAGGTTAACCTATTAAACACCTATATAACTATACCTATAGTTATATAGGTGTTTAATAGATTAACCTTTGTCAGGTGTCACAAAACTGTAAGCACAAAAAGTTATTTAATGCAATGTTTCTTTCCTGATAATAAAAAGGCTTTAAAATTTTATAGGTTTAAAAAACAATTTAGTATTTATTTGATTTTTATTTTCATACCCTGACTAATAGTTAAAAGATATATTCAATATCTTGAATATATCTTTTAATTATTAGTCAGGGTATGAAATAATAATCACAATATCTTGTGATTATTAATTATATAAATTGTTGTATATTAAGTGAAGCAAAGAAGAAACATATTAAAGATTATAAATTTGTCAAGAAACACTAAGACAAAAACAATTAAAAACAAAATTTAAATAAAAAAAGAAGTCTATTTACTCTTCATCTTCAGAATCAATATTTTCATGAAATGTCTCGATAACCTCCTGATTGTATGGCAAAGAATCGTAAACCTGAGCATTGGATGTAAACCTTTTTAATACTTTTTTTTTTTTTTTTTTTTCGCGTGTTTCACTTGAAGAGATAAGACGTATTTTATTTTGGCGTAAGTCTTTTTTTTTTTTTCCTGCATTATAAGTATTTTGCTATCAACTTTTTCACTCCAATATATCTCATCTCTATTTATATATCTCATCAACTATATCTCATACTTCTATTTCTTAGTTTTGGTATTTACTTTACTTTTTTAGTAATACTTTTTTAGTATTACTTTCGCTACTTTTCTACATTTACTATTATATATTCACGTGCTTTTGAGTAATTTAATTATAGTATTTTGTTTCTTAATATTTACTCGTATATACATAATTATATACCTCTATTATATGTTATTGTTGTAAACATTAATTTAATTAACGGTTTTACTTTTTCTTAAATTCAGTGTTATTATCTTAGAGAGTTTTTTGAAAGTTTCAGCGACTTTTTATTTTTTATTTTTATTATACTCAAGTCGTATTCTAAATTCTAAAGTTGCCCTTCTATCTTTTTTTAATCTTTTTGTTTATTTTCACTTAGATAATAAGTCATTGTTCGTATAGAGAAACTATTGCATTTATTGTAAAAAAAAAAAAAAAAAAAAAAAAAGTTATTTATAAAAAATTTATATAAATTATATGAAATTTATATTCGTTATAATAATACAAATATATTATTATATGTCTATATATATTTGTATATATACATATATATATCAATATATATATAATTTAAATGTTATATAAACTATATATACTGTTGTTTAAACATATTTACGCTAAATGCCTCTAAAAGCCGACAATTCTGAGTTGAATAACAAGTATGAGACGCTTCTAAAGCAAGTAGAAGCGTTATCAAAAACAGTTGTTGAGCAAACATCGACAATCATCGCCCTCACAAAGCGAATCCAACAACTTGAGGAAAAACCTATTGCTTCCTCAACTACAACGGAAACTTTGTGGTCGGAAAAAAATCAACTAAAACGCCAGCTCAACTAGATATGCTTAATTGTGTAGCTAATGAGAACAAAGATAGAATGAAGCGTGACAAAAATCTTATCGTCTTTGGCATTCCAGCATCGACTAAAAAAGAACCTAACGAGAAGCAAGTAGACGATGAGAACAAAATAAAAGAGCTTCTAACCAACGTTAAAATTAATTCGGACAACATAATAAAATGTTTTCGCTTACGGTCAAAAGATCCGAATAAACCTCCACCTATTATAGTTGAGACGACAGACACTGTCGCCAGAAATAATATTGTTAAAGCAGCCTGGCGTAAATTTGAAGGCATCTATGTTAATCCAGATCTGACAGAAGCACAAAGAAGACAAGATAGACAATTACGAGACGAGTTGAAAAAGAAAAACGAGCCTCTTAATTTAAAAAACAACTGGGCAAAGACAAGTCTTTAGTACGTTATTCGTAATAATGCCGTAGTTAAAGTAGACAAATAGCAATCAACAGTAAGTAATTTAAAACCATATAATGACAATTTAAATATAAACGAAATTTCTTTAGAGCGAAAGTCATTTTCAACTATTAGTCTACTACAACAGTCAGCTTTCCATAAAATACCATGCTGTTATACCAATGCTACATCTCTTAACAATAAAATGCCAGAGTTTCTAGCATCAATTGAGACATACAACCCTAAAATAATCTTTGTTACAGAAACTTGGTGGCATGAATCATCGATAACTAACATTGAAAACTATATGTTATTCAGAAAAGATCGCGTGTCCAGTAGAGGAGGTGGGGTGGCTATTTATGTCGACACTTCATTAAAACCTAATGAATTAAGCGAAATTGTTTTATTAGATTCCCCTGAACAAATTTGGTGCGAAATATCGTACGGTTCCGAACACAAGTTACTAAGTCCACTTTTCAACTTGATGAAATTACATCGAACAATACTCTTGATCTAATTATAGCCGAAAATGAAAATCGGGTCCTCGATATTATTCACCATGCACCTTTAACGTCTCTGAAGAAATCTCACCACGTCCTTCAATGGGATTACGTTGTTAAAAGCGCTGCAGTTGTAGGAAAACACATTGAAAAACGCGTTTATCATAAAAGTAACTTTTTAAAGATATCCGAATATTTTAACAATATCAACTGGCAGATGGAATTCAATGGACACAATACTGATGACTGTTATAACATTTTCCTGAACCACTACGAGGCTGCATGCAAAAATTATGTCCCAGTGACTATCTTAAAATGGATTCGTCGTAGAAGTGAATGGATGAATGATGACATCAAAAATAAAATAAAAGCTAAAAATAAACTATGGTTTCGATGTAGAGCGAATGGATATAAAAATCTTAAACTAGTCAACGAATACAAAGCGTGTAATATTCAATTGAAGAAGCTCATATATAAAGCTCGTTGTGAGTTTGAACTTGATTTAGCGATAAAATCGAAGCACAACCCAAAGATCCTCTTCAAGTATGTTAATAGTAAACAAAATGTTAGAACTACAATAACAGCCTTAAAATGAATCAATGGCAACACTATCACAAATCCAATAGAAATTGCAAATTGGCTGAACAATCACTTTCAAAGTGTTTTCAACAAAAATGAAGACGATGAACTGCCATATTTTATAAAACGAACTGAAGCCATCTGCAAATACTCGCAAATAACGCTAGATCTGGTTAAAAACAAGCTGAGCAATTTATCAGTTGTCAAAACCGTTGGTTTGGATGGTGTAAGCGCATATGTACTGAAGAACTGTTCTGACAGCTTCTCAATACCTTTAAGCGCAATTTTTCAGAAGTCGCTATATAGTGGGTGTTGTCCTAAAGTATGGAAAAAAGCTAATGTAACACCACTGTTTAAAAATGGAAGTGGACTCGACCCAGGCAATTACCGGCCTATATCCTTAACATCAGTTGTATGTAAAGTGATGGAGAAAATATTACGTGACACTATGGTCAATCATTTAGTCGAACATAGCCTTATTTCAAAAAATCAACATGGTTTTGTCAATAAAAAAGCTTGTGTGACTAATTTGTTGGAGTCGATTGACATGATGTCAAAAGCATTATCTGACAAGATATCTATGGACGTAGCTTTTATAGATTTCAGTAAAGCATTCGATATGGTTTCCCACAAGAGACTAATTTACAAACTTGAGGCATATGGTTTTACTGGAAATCTCCTGAATTGGATAAAATCGTTTTTACACCAGCGTTTTCAACGAATCGTCATGGGCGATTATGTTTCCTCGTGGCTTGAGGTATTTAGTGGCGTCCCTCAAGGATCCGTATTAGGTCCAAAACTTTTTATCATTTTTGTGAACGATATATCCGATATTGTTAACTATCCATGTAAAATGTATGCTGATGACACTAAACTGCTGGCCCGTTTAGACCACCCATTAGCTTCACAAACGCTTCAAACTGATATCTACAACATAGCCGATTGGTGTAATACCTGGAAAATGAAACTTAATCTCGATAAATGTAAAATCATGCACATAGGTAAAAAAAAACAACTTTTATGTCTACTCAATGCCAGCTAATAACAATAACAGTGTCGAACTTGCATCAACTTTAGTCGAACGTGATTTAGGCATCATGATTACGCCAGACTTAAAATGGCATAACAATTCAACTTTTGCCACCAATAAAGCTAACCGTGTATTAGGCAAGTTGTATCGTACTTTCAGTCACATGACTCAGCAACTACTTAAAATTCTATATACAACTTTTGTACGACCTCATCTGGAATTTGCGGTAGCAGCCAGCAATCCATCATCAAGAATAGATATTGACAAAATCGAGAAAGTACAAAGAAGAGCTACCCGTTTAGTACCTTCGTACCGTCATATGTCATACAAAGATCGTCTGAATATACTGAACTTAACGTCTTTAGAAACCCGTCGCATTAGGGGAGATCTGATACAGGCCTATAAAATTATTAACAATATAGACATTGTCTCATGGAGTGAACCACATGTCCTTCGTGTTAGGCAGTCAAATAAAATAAAAACTAGAGGACATCATCTAAAAATGACTAGAGAATATGTTAAAAATTGTGAGCAAAGGCACCAGTTTTTTACTAATCGAATAGTGAATCATTGGAATGCATTGCCGTCAGAAGTTGTATGCGCTTCATCAGTTAACAGTTTCAAGGCTAAGCTTGATGCAGAAATTTCAAATAATCCGCATAAGTATCGAGATTATAACTGAAAAAAAAAAAAAAAAAAAAAAAACAATAAAGGAAAAACAATAAAGTACAAACTTATACTTTATACTATATATCTTATTGTAAATTTTTATATATATCGATATGAATAAAATTAATGTATGAAGTAGATAAGGCTGCCAAAACCTGTAGGTTATACAGGGAAACCTGTTGCAGCAATTTCTCTACTACTACTACTACTTGTAAATCTCTGTACTTTGCCATAGAGATGCAAAGTTTTGCATTATACAGAATGGGGATTTCACTATTTATAGTGTTCTTCTTATTATTTTTTTAATTAGTTTTCAACAATAATCCATTCCACGAATCACGATGAAATACAATGCCATTTGAATCTCCTCTGAAACAAATTATACAAAGAGGACAAGTTGGAATTGGACATTTATTCTTATAAAATGGTCTCATAAAATCAGTTATACTTTCAACCATACCTTGCGTTAATTCTATGCAATGAAACAGAGTGGGTTTTTTACGAGCATTTTTGAATGTTTTAATCCAATCTGATGGACCACTAGTGGGTGTTTTGCAATTAATTAATCCCATATCTTTATCACATTCCATAACAGAATGACCACGTTTTGGAAATGTAACTTTAATAAAGTCAAGCTTTTTGTTTTCATGAACAAGAAAATCCATAAAACGAATTAATGTATAGTTTTTGTTTTAGCCAGCACATGAATCACAAAATAGCTCTACAGATCAAATTTCTTTGTCTAAATGTTTTATAAAAAAATCATCGAAGTTACTTCATCAGCCCCTTTTTTAGCTATAGTTTCATCATAACAAAAAAAATAAACTTGCTTCAAATTTGTACTCCCTTTGTGCTTTAAACCAAGCTTGAACAACAATTGCATGAGCTTGAGTTACAGAAAGAACAGCACCACAAAGATGCAGATATATTTTATGTGAGGAAAAGAAACCTAACATAAAATATTTCTGCATCTTTGTGGTGCTGTTCTTTCTGTAACTCAAGCTCATGCAATTGTTGTTCAAGCTTTGTAAATTCTGAATTAAAAGATAGTTCAATTTTCATTTCATCAATTTTAATTTTAAACTCATCGCATTTAGAACGTGTCAGTCCTAGGGTACCCAAAAGAAATGTTAAAACTTTTGTTAAATATGTTGCGATAAGATTCATATGACAATTTATCATTTTCATACTTGATTTTAAACAAGTCTTACATCTTGGTTATAATTAATAGATCTTGGTATCAACCTCTGAAAGAAGAAATGTGATCACATATTTTATTTTTTAGTTGAGGAGTAAAATTGTTATACTGGTTCTTGTGTTTACCTCTTCTATCATGGGGAGAGTGACCTATAATAAAAAAAATTATTTTTATATATAAGAAAACTTCCATTAAAAATAAGCATTCTATATTCAATAAAAATATATAAATTACCTTTAGTTAAAAGGCTTCTTTTAATGGTCTCTAATCTCGCAGAAAAGCAAACATAAATAAACGAACACGTAAGTATCTCGTGATTTGTTATAAAATGTTTACATTTGTAACTGCTATTATAACCTTTTGAATTAATATTTCGTGGTTTTCTTCTTGAAACGTTATTTAAAGTTATTAAACTTGCAAGATACGAATCTTGATCATCCTTGCTGGATAGAGAGTTAAAATAACTTATTAACACTTTTCTATCTTCTTTTTTAAGCATTTCAGCCTTATACAGTTACATTCAATTCGCCCTGTTTTATGCAATACTAATCTTTGTTTTTTTATACTTTCACGCAATCTTTCCTTACTCTTTTTTTCCTTGGATTTTTTTAGCTTTTTTATTGGTATTTCAAGTGTCGCCATTTTTTTATTATTTAATTTACATTAACCAAATCACCTGTGATTATTTTGAAAAATAAAGACTTATAGCCGTAAGTATGTCTTGATAACTCAAAAAATAAAAATGGTAAACTTGGTTTATGGTATTGGTTTATGGTAAACTTGGTTTATGCAAATATTATTTTAACTCATTAACACTTGTCTTTTCGGGGAGGTATGTATTGTATAATAAAAAAAAGTGATTAAGTTCCATAAAACTATAAAAGTACATCCAATTGATTTGAATTTTTTTGATTTGAATTCAGATAAAATGTATAATAATATTGTTTATAAAGTTAAAAAGTATAAAATGTCAAAATTTTCAAAATGTGACCCTGCCGTTTCTTCCCGTGGAGTCTTTATATAAATGTATATATATATATATATATATATATATATATATATATATATATATATATATATATATATATATATAATATATATATATATATATATTTTACTAATGCATATATATATATATATATATATATATATATATATTATATATATATATATATATATATATATATATATATATATATATATATATATATATATATGCATTAGTAATATATATATATATATATATATATATATATATATATATATATATATATATATATATATATATATATATATATATATATATATTATTTGTTACACATCTAAATTTATTTTTAACTGGAGTGTGTAGAATATTTATTACTACTAATTATTTAAGCAATTCACAACATGCAATAAAACTGATATAAATTTTAAAACCGCCAGAATCAAATAATTATGTGGATGAAATGGAAGAAATTTATCATATTTATTCCCAGCAGTAAAAGTAGTACAGGTCAGATCAAATGAAATTTTTCAAAGCTGTATAAAGTTTGCAACGAAGACAAGTGATATTCAGTAAATAAAATAGTATCAATAGTTATATATTAGTTGAACCTTATTTCAAGGTCACATATCTTGGAGAGATATGTCACCTTGAATTAGGTTACAACTAATATATAATTATGGTAAATTATTTTTATTGTTTTTTTTCTCCTAAAGAATCAATGTATTCAATTCTAGAAACTAGTATTCTCATATTAGGGGCCCTTAGGTATCGATTTCACTGCTCGTTTGCCCCATTTGGGAAATTTGGATCAAAAGCTATAAAAGCTTGGTCAAAAGCAAAAAAATTAAGTTTAGATAAATAAATAGAGCTTTTTCAAACTGTCAGTGTAAACAAAATCATTTACATTTATAAATATCAAGAAAATACGTAAAAATCTTAGGGCTATTTTCCCCCATTCAGGGCAAATGGGCCAAAAACAGTCAAAGTTCTATACAAACAATAAAAATTAAATTTAGTTAAAAAAGGTCTTTTTCAAACTATCAGAATAAACAAATTCATTTATATTTATAAATATTAGGTAAAAATGTAAAAATACAAAGGACCCGTTTTCCCGTCTTAGGGCAAACTGGGCCGAGAGTACAAAAAGCTCTATTAAAACCGTAAAAATTAACTTTAGTTAAAGAAAAAGCTTTTTTAAACTGTCAGAGTAAACAAAATCATTTAAATTTATAAACATCAAAAAAATATGTAAAAATTTTAGGGCTTACTTCCCCAGTCAGGGCGATTGGGCTAAGAACAATCAAAGTTCTGTACAAACAGTAAAAATTAATTTTAGTTAAAAAAGAAATTTTCCAAACTGTCAGAATGTACAAATTCATTTTTATTTATAAATATTAGGAAACTATGTAAAAATACACATAACCTGTTTCCCATTTTGGGGCAAATCGGGCGAGGAGAACAAAAAAAAACTCTGTTAAAACCGTAACAAATAATTTTATTTAAAGAAAAAGAGATTTTTCAAACTGTCAGACTGAACAGATTTATTTACATTTATAAATGTAAAAAATAAATGTAAATATTTTAGCTCTAATTGCCCGCATTGAGGCGATTGGACCGATAACAATTAAGGCTCTGTAAAGATAATAAAAATTAACTTTAGTTAAAGAAAAAGTGTTTTTTCATATTGCCAAAGTGAAGAAGTTCATACACATTTATAAAAACCCAAAATATACGTAAAAATCCCAGTGCTTATTTGCCCCAATTGGCAATTGGTTCAAAAGGAATGAAATTTCTGTAAAAACCAAAAAAATAAACTTTAGTTAAAAAACAAATGCTTTTTTTATATCGTAAGAGTAAACAAATTCATATACATTTATAAAAAAAAAAAATTTTCCGGAAAGAAATGTCTTTGTAAACCATTGAAATAAAATGCTTTACTTTGTCCAATCACTGTCTAAAACACTCCATGTACTTTCTTCTGGGGCATTTTAATCTTAAAACATGAAAAATAATGAGTAGTTCTTCTTTTTAATATCAAATTTGGTAGAAAAGAGTTTCCGAGAGACACAAGTTGTTATTCTGATTGTTTATCCTATCAGTGCATGAATTCCGTTTGTGCAAACACCACTGGCGTAGGCAAATTTATTCAAAAGGACT